TGGTGAATATGATGCACCATTAAATGAATTTTGTGCACAACATGGCTTTATTCATCAAACTACAGCACCTTATTCTCCACAGCAAAATGGAATTGCTGAAAGGAAGAATAGAACCCTTAAAGAAATGATGAATGCCATGTTATTAAGTTTGGGTTTACTGCAGAACTTGTGGGGGGAAGCAATATTGTTTGCTAATTATATTCTTAACAGAATACCTCACAAGAAAACTAATAACACTCCTTATGAATTGTGGAAAGGTCGACTGCCTTCCTACAAATACTTAAATGTGTGGGGGTGCTTGGCAAAAGTTGAAGTTCCGGTTCCTAAAAAGATTAAGATTGGACCAAAAACAGTGGATTGTGTTTTTATTGGTTATGCTCAAAATAGTAGTGCATATCAGTTTCTGACTTATAAATCAGAAATACCTGATATAAATATGAACATTATTATATAGTTAAGGCATGCTGTGTTTTTTGAACATGTCTTTCCTTACAAGAAAGGACATGAATTAAGTTCACAGAAAAGAACTTATGATTGTACACAAAGTCAAGAGACTAATGACAATCAAACACAAGAGACTAGTAATGGTCTCGACCAACATTGTTTAATTGATGATGAACCAAGACGAAGTAAAAGAGCGAGAACATCAAAACCCTTTGGTCCAGATTTTCTGACATACTTGTTAGAAAATGAACCTCAAAGCTTTAAGGAAGCAATGATAGGTCCTGAAGCACCTTTGTGGGTGAGGTTGTTAATAATGAAATTGAATCCATTATGCAAAATCATACTTGGGAATTGGTGGATCTTCCACCTGGTTCTAAACCTCTTGGATATAAGTGGATATTCAAGAGAAAAATGAAAGTAGATGGTTCAATAGACAAGTACAAAGCAAGACTTGTAGTAAAAGGTTATAGACAAAAGAAGGTCTGGACTATTTTGACACATATTCCCCTGTGACAAGAATAACATCTGTTCACATGCTTATTGCTATAGAAACATTGTTTAATTTAGAAATAAATCAAATGGATGTTAAGACAGCTTTCTTAAACGGTGATCTAAATGAAGAAATCTATATGGAGCAACCCGAAGGGTTTGTAGTACCAGGGCAAGAAAAGAAAGTTTGTCGGCCTGTAAAATCTCTTTATGGATTAAAACAAGCACCTAAGCAATGGAATGAAAAATATGATCATGCAATGCTTACTAATGGGTTTAAGATAAACGAATGTGACAAATGCGTCTATGTTAAAAACACTGACCAAGGATATGTCATAGTGTGTCTTTATGTGGATGACATGCTTATCATCGGAAGCAGTCAAAACTTGATCAAATCAACTAAGCAGATGCTTAACAAAAGATTTGATATGAAAGATATGGGGGTCGCAGATGTTATATTAGGAATGAAAATTACTAAAACATTTGATGGATATGCATTGTCTCAATCACATTATATTAAGAAAATTTTTGGTAAATTTATCAAGGATGATATGAATGTAGCTAGAACATCTATAGACATCAGTTTTTATTTATCGAAAAATAAAAGTGATGCTGTGTCTCAGTTAAAATACTCCCAAATCATATGTACCTAATGAATTGTACTTGTCTTGACATAGCTTATGCAGTCAGTAAATTGAATAGGTACACTAGTAACCCTAGAGAAGACCATTGGAAAGTGATCATTCAGGTTCTTAGATATCTACGATTTACCCATGATCATGGTTTGAACTTTACTCGATATCTAGCAGTACTCGAAGGTTATTGTGATGCCAATTAGATATCGGATACTAAAGATTCAAAATCCACTAGTGGATATGTTTTTACTCTGGGAAGAACTGCTGTTTCTTAGAAATCCATGAAACAAACATGCATCGCATGATTCACAATGGAATTCGAGTTGATTGCTTTAGACAAAGCAGAAGAAGAAGCAGAATGGCTTCATCACTTCTTAGAAGACATTCCAATGTGGCCAAAACCTATGCCAGCTATTTGCATTCATTGTGATAGTCAATCTGCAATAGGCAAAGCGCAGAATCATATGTATAATGGTAAGTCACGACATATTTGTCGTCGACATAATACCGCCAGGCAATTACTCTCAAATGAAATAATCTCAATAGATCATATAAAATCTAAAAAGAATATTGTGGATCTATTAACAAAAGGTTTGACTAAAGAGCAAGTGTATAGTTCATTGAAGGGGATAGGATTAAAGCCTATTACATAAGAGTCATAATAATGGTAACCCTACTTATATGATTGGAGATCCCAAGAATTAAGTTCAAAGGGACAACTAAGTTATGTGTGGCTCGCCAGAAATCACCAAGGGATTAAAATTCCCTATCCATTCCTATGGTAAGAGTGATATCTGCAACATGTGTTGTATGCAAGCGTCTAAGGATAAGCTTAGCTTTTAATGATTACTTATATCTTGATTTAGGCATAAAAATCAAGACACGTATAAGAAGATACTCACAATAAGAATCACCTATATAAGTGTCGAATTAGGGCTGGTTCTATGAGAATGAAGAGGCTAAATTCTCTAGAAGCACTCATGAAAACCAGGAGTGTTCAAGGCCAAAATGAACACAACAGTGAGAACCACGATGTGTTAGAAGATATTTTGTGTGAAATCTATTGTCTTAGCTTACACAAACGGTTGAACAATTCAAGGCATTGCGTCCATTGGTTAGCTAGTAAGTCTGATAGGTTATCACTAGGGAAAGTTCAAGGTCGAAAGATACCTATCCTAATACAAGATATTTTCAATTTATACTCTTTTGACAAATTCTGCATATTGTTGCATTTCCGTTGTCATCAAATTCCATTCTTGTGGGGGATTGTTAAAAATGGTTTTTTTGAAAAATCTGGATAGTAGAATTTTTCATCAACTTTGGTCTATTTTTTAGGTGGGACCCATGGGCCGAATTTCGCCAGTCTAAGTGGTAACACGTTCTATGCCGCGTTGTGATTCACGTGATATATTTGGTTGCTCAAAACCATTATTTGGTGAATGGGAAATTGAAGCCAAAGTGTGCTCCATGGAAATGGAGTTTTGGTGAAAATTTCTTAAGGTTTGTATAATGGTTTGTCCTACATTGATTTGGTGGGAAGTTTTGGAATGGGTTTATATAGCTTGGAATTATAACTTAGGGAGGGCCCCAAGGGGCACCCCAAGTTTGTAAAAGGGAGAGGTTATGGGCAACATGGGCTAGACCCATTGGACCCAAAAATTACCACACGCGCACGCGCCACAACTGCCATCTGGCGGGCTGGGCTGGCCTGGGGGTGGGTGCGTGGTGTGAGGTTGGGTTGGGCTTGTCCGGCCCAATACTTATTTTTTGGGGCCAAAAACATTTGAATTTTATTTTATTTATTTACAAATAAATTATGTCTATTTTTTTTTTCAAATTATGGTTGGAAATAAAATTCAAATTTTGGTTTGCACCTCTTTAGAAATTCTGTACAGTTTCGTATCTATCCAAACCGAATCTATTCAAATTCAAATCTACCCAAAATAGGCTTTTAACTGTTTGAAATTCAAACCAAACAGTGCCTACAGATTTGTATCTGTTTAATTTTAATTGAATAGGTACTGTACCTGTTTAATTCAAACCTAGCAGCCACCACTTCACTTATAAATAGATTAGCCCTCATTTGGATTTTTGACATATAATTTTCATACTTCTCCTCTGCAAATAATCTCTGCATTTTGCTGCATTTAATTTCTGTGAGAAAGAGGAGTGTATACACTTAGTGTGTTCATTGTGCGAATAAATTGTAGTGCAGCATTTATTCGTTGATTGATCATTTTATCCTGGGAGATAGACATCCATATTCTAAAAGCACCGTGGAGCGAACGAATCTGTCTTAAGGACACAGTGTTAAAAACTGGACTTGATCAGAATATTGTTCAAGAATTTAATCAATTTGATTTTTGTAATCAAACATTTTCTCTCATTTCCTATTTTTCTTTTGTATTCTATTTGTAGTTTAGTACGCAAATAGAATTTATTTATTTAAATATAGTGAAGATTGTCCAACAAAAACAGACTACCAGGCTTTGTTTTTAATCAAAGACATGATATCAGGAGATCCCTAGGTATCCTCAGCTCATGGAATCATTCTATCCACTTTTGCAATTGGCACGAAATCTCATGCGGTCGTTGACATCAGCATGTAACAGTTTTAAACCTGCCATCCCTGGGATTGGTGGGTCCTTTATCTCCTTACATTGGGAACCTCACCTTTCTTAGGATGATTGATCTTAGTAACAATAGTTTTCATGGTAAAATTCCACTAGAAATTGGCAAGTTGTTTCGTTTGCAATGTCTTCAACTTTTCATTAACTCTTTTGAAGGTGAATTTCCTGCCATGACACATTGTTCAGACTTGAGAGTAATCAGCCTAGTTGATAACAGTCTAGGAGGTAAAATTCCTACCGAGTTGGGTTCTTTGTCCAACCTCATTAAATTTAGTGTTACTAAAAATCATTTCGCCGGACCTATCCCACTTTCGCTTGGAAACCTTTCTAATCTTGTCGGGCTTTCTCTATCGCACAATAATCTAGAGGGAAGCATTCCATTCGAACTTGCTCAACTCTCAAAGTAGCAAATTCTTATTCTGGGCTTTAACAATTTTTTCGATATGGTTCCTATACCTCTTCACAATATCTCATCCATCACTTACTTTTCTGTAAATGACAACCAATTGCACAGAAGCTTTCCCTCCAATTTGGGCTTGACCCTTCCAAAACTAAAAGCTTTTCATATTGGAAGCAATCAATTCTATGGGCCTATTCACTCCTTGATAGCCAATGCTTCGAAACTTGTAGAAATTGAGACTAGCCAAAATTCTTTTACTGGTCCTCTACCAATGAATTTTGGAACCCTTTATGAGCTACAAAAGCTAAATAGTCACACTAATAGACTAGGAATAGGAGGAGATAGGAAGGGCAATGAGTTGATGGACTTTCTCACTTCTTTATCTAATTGTTCCAACCTACTATGGTTGGACATGGGTATAAAATAAATGGTTTCAAAAGTTTATTGCCCAATTCCATTGCGAATTTCTCCACCACAATCACTTGGTTAACTCTAGATGGCAACTATGTATTGGGTAGCATACCTCTTGGTATTGGAAACATTGTAAATTTGCGTACACTCTATTTAAGTACCAACATGCTCGTTGGTAGTATTCCTGATTCCATTGGAAAACTCTTCAACTTGGAAAAGTTGCTACTTCTAACAAATAACATCTCTGGAGAAATTCCATCATCTATTGGAAACATTACTCGGCTTGGTATTCTTGACTTATCAATAAATATGATAGAGGGAACCATACCAGTTTCTTTAGGTCATTGCACAAATCTAAGGGAATTTCATCTCGGAGACAACCACCTCACTGGAGATATACCTCAAGAAATCTTTGGTCTTTCTTCTCTTACTATTCTAATCTTGAGTCAAAATTACCTAACGGGATTCCTACTACAAGAAGTGGGTAACTCAAAAAATCTTGAAAGATTGGAAATATCAAAAAACAAACTATTTGGAGAAATCCCCGCTACTCTCAGCAATTGTCAAGTTTTAGAATTCCTCTACATGATGGCTAACCTTTTCGAAGGTACAATTCCGGAATCCTTCCAACAACTAAAAGGTCTTCAAGTTCTTGATGTTTCTCACAATAACTTGTCAAGACAAATTCCAAGCTTTTTAAGTGAGTTACCTTTTTTACTAAACCTTAATCTTTCTTACAATATGTTCGATGGTGAAATTCCAAATGGAGGAGTTTTCAGAAACATTGGTGCATTCTCAATTGTTGGAAATAAAAAGCTCTGTGGAGGGATTAAAGTATTACAATTGCCCGCATGTCCTGCAAAAGACTTGAAGGAAATGAGACAACCTTTTAAGTGTAGAGTAATAGTTGTAGTAGTTACTCTCACTATTTTTCTATTAATAGTGTGCACTTTAGCTATTATTTATAGAATTAGAAGGTCCAGACAACAAGCCGCTTCAATCCTGTCTTTGCAAAACCAACTTTTACAACTCTCTTATGGCTAATTTTTTCACGCAACCAATGGATTCTCTTCAACCAACTTAATTGGTGAGGGAAGATATGGTTTGGTTTATAAAGGGATTCTCAAATTCGGTGAATTAACTGTTGCTGTGAAAGTACTCAAGCTTCATGAATGTGGAGCAATCAAGAGTTTCAAAACAGAATGTGAAGCACTGAAGAACATTTGCCATCACAATCTAGTCAAGGTAATCACATCTTGCTCAAGCATTGATTTTAAAGGCAATGATTTTAAGGCATTGGTCTTCGAGTTCATGAAAAATAGGAGTTTAGAGAAATGGTTACATCCAATTAGTTTTTCAGAGCAACATGACCCTAATCACTTGACCTTTGTTCAAAGGCTAAATATTGCCATTGATGTGGCCTCTGCGTTGGATTATCTTCATCATCATTGTGGAGTGGCTATCGTTCATTGCCATTTAAAGCCAAGTAATATTCTTCTTGATGATAATTTATGTGCCCATGTTGGTGATTTTGGCCTCACAAGGATTCTTTCAGCCACCACAGGTATATCCAATCATCATCAATCAAGTTCAATTAGGATTAGAGGAACAGTTGGATATGTTGCCCCAGGTAATTGTCTATATTTATTATTCATTCCATTACATTGATTAAGAAATGTTATTTTTATTTTGTTTTATATTATTTATTTGAGGTGAACTATAAACTAAGACAAGTTTATGTATATGTACAAATTAATCATCATCTAACCACAAGGTGGTTGGCCTAGTGGGTAACAACTGGGGCTTGAAGGTTTGCTTCCTCCTAGGTCTCAGGTTCAAATCCCCTAGCCAGCAAATGCATACCTTCAGGTCACAGACCACAGGGCATAAACCCTATTTCAAAAGGCTTGTTCGGACTGTAGGACTTAATCTAGTGCGTGTAAGCTAACCTAGGATACCCTACATAACAAAAAATAAAATAAAATTCCTCGTTCTAGTTATGCTATAGATGAGTACTCCCCTTCACATCACCAAGTTGGGTGTTTTTCTACTGTAACAAATTAATGTAACTTTTGTTATATCCATTGGTATCCCAAAATTGATATTAACCCTTGGAGATAATTTATATTTTGAAATATTAAAGTTCTTCTACCAAAAGAAGGTATAAAAATAATTTGCTAATTGAAAGATCATACCAGAATTTACTAATTTGGATTCTTCATCATTATTTCATACTGCAGAGTATGGTATGGCTGAAGAGGTATCAACACAGGGTGACATATATAGCTTTGGAGTGTTACTACTGGAAATGTTCACAGGAAAAAGACCTACTGATAACATGTTCATTAATAATATTAACATCCATATCTATGCAAAAAGGTCTCTTTCAAATCAAGTAATGGTGATTGTTGATCGCCGAATCATATTGGCAGAGGAAGAGGAGCCAAGTAGGACCCGACAAAGTAGCACAAACAACATTTCTAAATTGGAGGTCTGTCTTGCATTGTTCATTCAAATTGGAGTTTCTTGTTCTGTTGAACTGCCACATGAGAGACTGAATTCTAGAGATGTTCTTATGGAACTATAGAAGATTAGAAATGTATTTCTTGGGTTTAGGGAAGAAAACTAAAGGCACGCATGATGTTCGTGTTCTCTACTACTAATTGGTTCCTATCTTGTGCTGTAAAGATTTTTTTTATATAGTGCCCAAACTTTGATCAGTTTTAGAGTTTTTTGGGATTTCAAATCTGGTTCAGATCTAGGATTTTTCATGCGATGTTTGAACTAATCTAATCCAAGATCAAATTGATTAATGTGAATTCAAAAACTTTCACTAGAACTTTGTGATTAGAATTTCCAATTACTTTAACTTGTACATTGTGATCCAATAGAAGCTGGTTAGTTCTTGGATAGTTTCACTATAATGTATAAGAGTTTTATGAATTAAATTTTTCCGTCCTAAAAGTTTTTTTTTTTTTTGTTTGGAAAAACATTAAGAAATTAATTCTTGTTGTCACGTGAGTTGTCACTAAAAAAACTATCCCCAAAAGTATTTAAAAAAGGACATTTACTGACAAAATTTTGAAAATGTAACTAATAAATGCATTTTTAAGAACAAAACAATTTTGTGATTTTTTTTAACATTCTAAGACCAAAAAAAAAAATGGTTGTATAAAGGACAATAATTCATCATTAAATGTTCAATGACAAAAATGCTATTTTTAATAATTAAAATATTTCGTAAATAAAAAGTGATTTTGTTCCAAAAATTTGTCTCTAAACCTTAAAAATTTTGTCTCTAAACCTTCATTTGTTGTAATGTTTTGTTGCAATATATTGATGACAAAACTATCATAATAAGTTTATTGCAATGAAATAAATTTTTTAATTTTTTTATAGGAAAAAAATACAAAATGAAGTTTTCATCTTGACATATATAGTGAGAAAGGATCTTGATCTCTCCATTTCAAAAAAAATATTTCATTTCATATTTAATGGTTTTAAAATATAATCATTTATTTGTTTATTTTACTTTGACAAGAGATCGCAGCAAATTTTTAGGCACTCAGTCTATAAATTCAAATTTAAATTTTCTTTACCTAAAGGTTCACCACGTCTTAAAATATTTTATTCATAAGAACAAACTCATACAAAATGACGAAATTACCCATTTATATATATATAATATTTTATATGGTGCAAAATGCAAACCACCGCCATATTCTCTCTCTCTCTCTCTGTTCATCTCCGACAATCACTCATGAGATCATGGCAGGATGGGTGAGGAAAGGAAAAAGTAAGAGAGAGAAGCGGAAAAGTAAAAAATGTACACATAGAACATTTTTTGAAAATGCATTTCAGCCATTGTTTTATGGTTTTAACAAATTTGAGCTGTCCAAATGTCCTAGTAGGACAAAATATATTGAAGATTCAAAAACCCTCATGCTTTGTTATATAAATACATACAAATTATATGTATTTTTTTGTTTCCGTAGCGGCACAAAATGAAAGAGACTGAGATGGGAACCAAGGATGTAACAACGGAGGCTCTCAAGAAGGAATCTGTGGATTTGGGAATACTGCTGTGTTGAAGTGCACATTTATTGAATCCACTTTCATCACCAATAACCCTGTTGCACTTATGAATCTACATAGGCAAGTCTCATTTGTTCATCTATATATATAAGTTTTGTAAATATGAGATTTGGAAATCTCTTGAATATAGCTTATATTCTTTGCTTTAATCAAAAGTCTGTATTTGAATATATATATATATATATATATATCTTCGGTGCTGGAAATCAATTGAATTGGATTTATTTATTTTTTGCTAGAATTGAATTGAATTGATTTTTATTTTTTTTATATTTTGTGCAGGAAAGAATACCGATTAAAGAGATTTTCAAAATCTGAGACGTAATATAGAGGGACTCACATCTGAGGTTGCTAAACGAAGGCTAGCCATTTTGTGGCATGGAAGCTGCCTGGGGGGGTGTTGGGGGGTTGTGGCCCCTACAAAAGATTGAGAACCCCCATATTCATGTATGTATGATGGTTTGCTTTGCTGCTACTTGCATGCTTTTGGCCCCTCCATACATTTGATGTCCCTACCAACAATAGCATACCAATCCCACTTAGATACAATTCAAAAACAATAGTGTTGCCAGCTGCTTATAATAGCATAGCCAGTGAAATAATTTCATGGGTTTTTAATTGGGATAATAAAAAGTTGACTCTAAATATGATCATCATATATAAATTTATTCAATATGTCTTGATATATTTGCATATATAAACCAAAAAAAAAAAAGTGGGGATTTTTTTTTAGGGTCCCTGATATTAAGATTTTATAACATAAAGAATATCTAATATTTTCATAACGTCTAAGGTCCCTTACACATCAATCGAGAGAAATTTCAATCCTCAGAGAAATTCTCTCCAAATTTCTCTGGACTTCCCACTTTCCAGAGAAATTCTCTCCAAATTTCTCTGGACTTCTCTCCAAATTTCTCTGAACAAAGTAAGTTCAAGTCTCAGCTTGGCCTAAACTCTCTCTCTCTCTCTCTCTCTCTCTCTCTCTCTCTCTCTCCATAATATTTTTGTCTTTGGATGTATGGTTGCAGAAGAAGAGCAAGAACCAAGGCAAGAATTTCTCTCCAGAGAAATTCTCTGCATTAAGTTTAGAGATTTTCTCTGGATTTCTCTGCATTTTCTCTAGATTTTAAGAAACAAGAATGAACAATTCAAGGAATCTGCCTTCTAAATCATGAGGCGCAATACACAAATCAATTACCCAAATAAGTAACAACAACATCCAATATGCATATATCCAGAGAATTTCTAAGAAATTCTGGAAGGCCAAAAAAATCTTCTAGATTCCAGTCTAGAGATTTTCTCTGGATTTTCAAAAAATTTCTCTGGATTTCAAGAAATAATAATGAAGAGTTCAAGGAATAGAGGATTTGGTTTCACTGTGATTTGCATTTGTCCATATATATAATACATATACAACTCCTCAAACCCTAAAACTTTAAATCATAAATTCAAGAACTCAACATCCTCAAATCCTTCAAAACCCATCAACACCATACAAAATTGTCAAACAAACAGTAATCACATTGTTCATGAGACAGAGTTTCAAGTACATACATAAACATAAGGATATTCAAGAAACATATATTTGCATCAACTATATTGTAGAAAATAAAGAAAACAAAACAGGGAAAAACAAGTACTTCAATTTTAGTTTTTATTGTTATTATTATTATTATCCACAAAAAAGGAAAATAAATTTAAAAAACCTAAGGGGCATATAAATATATGTACAGCAAAAAGGTATTGTGACCTATGTTGTGTGGTTCTGATCAAAATTGCAATGGCGAAAGCAAGGTAGCAAAACCCAAGAAAGTAACCAACTTGGAAATTCTACCCACTTCAAAGACAAATTAATTAGTCAAGAACATTGCAGTAGCGATGGATTTTGTCGTGGGTCTTCCGAGGACTCAACAGGGTAGTGATGCCATATGGGTAGTAGTTGACCGGTTGACTAAGTCGGCGCACTTTATTCCTATATGTGTGAGAGATTTGGTAGATCATCTTGTCGACTTGTATATTCAAGACACAGTGAGGTTCCACGGGGTCCCAGTGTTGATCGTCTTAGATAGAGATCCGCGTTTTACTGCTAGATTGTGGTAGAGTTTGCAGAGTGCCTTGGGCACTAGATTGACTTTTAGCACGGCTTACCATCTTTAGACTGACGGACAGTCTGAGCGCACTATTCAGATCCATGAGTATATGCTTCAAGGATGTGTCCTTGAATTTAAGGGGTCGTGGGAGAGACACTTATCCTTAGTGGAGTTTGCCTGCAACAACAACAGTTTCCAATCGAGTATTGGTATGGCACAATTTGAGGCCTTGTATGGCCGACCATGTAGATCTCCAGTGTGTTGGGCTGAGGTGGGTGATACACCATTGTTGGGTCTAGAGTTGGTGCAAGAAACGACGAAGAAAATGGCACTTATCCGTAGGAGATTGGTTACAGCCCAGAGTCGCCAAAAGAGTTATGCCAACCGTCAGAAGAGGCCTTTGGCATTTGAGGTGGGTGATCACGCCTTTCTAAAAATATCACGTAGGCATGGTTTGATGAGGTTTGGGAAGAGTGGGAAGTT